TCAGATTTTTGAAGGTTGGACTATGTAATCTATGTAGTACGCACCATACTGAATTCCATTTTAGAAGCAGAAAGGTGGAATACGGGTTTCATGTAATAGATGATAAAGCTCACAGCGATTTTTTTCACCACTTTAGGAAGTATGAGCCTAGATACCAGTGGATTCTCCTTTCCCCCCATCTAGTTCCTTGAACAAGGATAGAGCTCTAATGGCAGAGACCCCTTTCCTGTCCCGTATGGCATATCCTCCTTGCTACCCTGTGGAATGTCCCTCCTAATATGCCCACCTCCAAGCTAACCTACCTCAGGATTGTTGTGTGGGCAAACTTGGTTGGGGGAAAGCCCAATGTATGCCACCATAAGCTTCTTGGAGGAAGAATGGAATCCAAATATGATGGGTATAGGAGGAAACAAAACACAAACAGTAAATGAGAATGGCTGGTGATACTGGGACAATAATTTCATTAAGCCTAGTATGAAATAAAGAAAATGAATACAGAATCCATAACACAATAGAGAGATAATAGTGACACCAGTAAGAGGAGCCTAGATAAGGGACATTTACATTCCATTAAAGAAATAAAAATAGGGGTAATGGTGGGTATAATTTGTCCCAGTAAGTGCACTTACTGGTCTTTCCCACTGCTGTTGAATGTGCAGTTATGGGGAGGGCCTAGGCAGTGAGACACCTTCCCCATACAAGCTTTCAATGGAAATGTATGGTATAATGACATGAATGAATTAAATGTGCAAGGGTCTAGATAACAAGGTTTGTTCACATATATACTTCAGCATTGGTTGATATTGCATAAAGTACTGCTGAATGTGTCACTAGCTGATGTTTGCTAGTTACAATGATAAAGTTAGAAGATTCAACAAGAAGAAAGTGAAGCACTTTTTCTTTTGGGTTGCTTGAAAGGACTGTGTAAATTGGTCAGGAATAAAGTATGTAACTTTCCTGTTATATATCTAGGGGCAGAGGAAGGGGGCAGGGGGGCGGTTCGCCCCAGGTGTCTTCGCTGAGAGGGGTGACATTCTGCGCGCGGCATGCCCACAACTCCCAAGCCTACCCTGAGCTGTCAGGGGAAGGGGGGAGCTGCACCGTTTTGCCGGCAGCATTCTCCCTTCATTTTAACACCTTGGGAATCGCGGGCGGGCGGTGCGCCGAAAGTCCGCCATTGGCGACTCGCTCCGCCCCCGGCTGCAGGGTGCGCGCATCACTCCATGCACCCAAGCGGCTATCCCGCACCTGGGAGGGCCCTCTGTGCCCCAGCCGCCTCGGGAGCGTGCCCGCCCTGGGCAGCGTGGCCATATGCTCTGCTGCTGTATATATACTGGACAGAAAGTGTCATTTTAGTGAAGTAATGCTCAATAAATCAAGGATAACATTTCATGTGAACAAGCCAGAATGGAACTGGTGACAACCTTTAAGTCAAGTTAGGACAACTCTGATATCTCTGATAGTATACAAAAACAATCAAGAATATGTTGGGCTGAAACAGTTCTCTCGTGGCATAACAGCACAAACTAAAAGGACTTTATAGATTCCAATGCAAGGTACAAAGATATTGCTTATTAAAACAGTTTTTAATATGTCTTGTAAGCATAAACATTGTACTATGCAAATGATTATATTGATGAACCAAACAAAACATGAATCTTCTCTATTTATAGCAGGACTACATTACTTCAATTAGTAGCTGAACCTGAAATACTCATTTCTATTGACATTGTGCTGGATGACCCATGAGCCTTTAAGTCATCTCCTTCTGCCCTCTGAGGTCCACCACGATCCATCAAATGCCCTCCCAGTTCATTTCAAAGTTGCCAAGTTCAAAACAAATGTTATTGTTTCCCTCACCTTCTGACCTTGAATTCTGTCAGATGTGTCCATATGACCCCAATTCACATCAAATCCCCAGATTTCAAAACAAAGGACATGCACTGCTCTCAGCTCATATAATTTCTGCACCTAAAGAACCCTGGCCGGTATATAGATAGATTCCTTCCAGCAGCTGAGGCACAAAAATATGAGCAGTTATTTTATATAAGGAATGAGTGAATGAACTAGGAAACAAAGCTGATTTACTAACAAACTGGGAGTTGCCTCTCTGGGGATTGTAACGTGCTAAGGCTATTTCAAGTACTCTAGAGAACTTGAAGTTGACGTACTGATATTTTAAATTATCTCTCTTTCACACAAAATGCTAATATTTTCATACTGGGACAAGCGATTGATCCTTGAACACCTACTGTATAACATATTAGCATACTATGGGATTTGAAGTTTTTTTACACCCAGTTTCCATTATTTGTTTTTTTACCAGAATCAACTAAGAGGCAAAAGAACACAGAATGAGTTGAACTAGGGCAGTGTTTCCCAACCTTGGGCCTCCAGCTGTTTTCGAACTACAATTCCCATCATCCCTGACCACTGGTCTTGCTAGCTGAGGATTATGGGAGTTGTAGTCCAAAAACAGCTGGAGGCCCAAGGTTGGGAAATGCTGAACTAGGGTGACATTTTATTCAAACACTTTCAGAAGGAATGAATATCATGGGAGACGAACTTAATTCAATGTGATGGGCAAGCCCAAGGGTCTCAGCAGGGCCATGACTCCTTTATGTAGACCACACCTACTGAGCAAGGATTGCTTCCTGATGCCACTCCCAGCTAGGGCCCCAAAACTCAGCCTGCCTCATCTTCCTCAAGGGCTCCTATCATCTGGCCTCCACAGATGTCCATCACCTTTACAAGTACCTAAGGGTGTTCACCAGTACATTTCTTCATTTTGCACCCTCCTTTCAAATGTGACAGGTTAGCCTATTTAAAGATGCTGGTTCACTAGGCCTTTAACACCCTCCAGCACCCAGTACAGAAAAGGTATGTATGTGTTTAGAACCTTCCTGACAAGACCGATCTATGAACAGGCAAAAAAAAAGTTCCTACTATGCCCCAAAACAACTGGAAAAAGATCCTGCACTACAGTTGAGTGTAGGCTGGCCAGGTGCCAAAAGGTCCATGAGGCCCTAAAGGAGCCTGGCTCAGAAATCAATAGCCACCTCCTGGCACTGGTGTGTGTATACAATGACCCTGTGTATTTCCTCCCCACAACCCAGCCACTTGCATTACGCAGCCCAGGGGAGTTAACAGAGCTCACCCTGCTGGTTCATGCTGCCCTCCTTTAGCTTTTTAATTGGTTCTTAGCCTCAATGGAGGCATGCAAATGGGGCACTGCCCCTTCAACCTCCGTCTGCCTTCAACCAGCCCACAATTTCTTGTCTTCTCGCTTACAACCAATCAGGGGCTGACTCTTGCCTGTCTTTGGCTCCAGCTACACCTCCTGTTGGTCTTCTGTCCAACAGAAGTCCCAATGGTCACCAGCCGCTGCTGCTCAAGGCCAGACACTTTGTTCTAGCCAAATTCACATTTTGTTAAGCTCTGGATTTTCTCTTTGAACCTCTCACTTTATACTCCCAGGTCTAGACTTCATCCTTTACTTTTTCTCTTTCCATTTTTACGGACACAGCACAGTTTCCGATCAGGAGCATTGATGTGTTTTCATAATGAAAAGGTTAAATGTATTTGGCAGAAGATGTATGGTGCAAACTTAAATGATCACAAGGTGAAAACATTGAAGCCATATGACTTTTCAATTATTTTCCCCGTTTGGAAAAGAAAAAAGAAAAGAAAAAAATTCTCCCATCCTGGCGCCCACAGTGAGATAAACATAGAACCCAGAGAACAAGGAGTTTGAGATTAAGTTCAAGCTGGACCACAGGGATTTAAATTATTAAAACAGCTATTCATAGTGGCTACAATCTGAAGCCCATTTGTGAGAACCTCTTCCCTTCAGAGTCAATGCATGTAAGTATGCATATCTGGCCACAGTATTGCAGCTAGTTTTATCTTAAAACTCTGCTTTGCAAGGGGTGGGGGAGCATTTTCACATAGGACACAGAGCAGGCATAAAGTTAATGGGGCAAGAAGTACTTTCCGTTGAACCTGAATAATTCAAGTATATTTTTTTTAAAAAACTGACTCGACTGTAGCTGACAGTTTCTAAAATTGCCCTTACTACATGCTCCTGGCATTGCAAATGATCTAAACTTTTTCTGTGTGGTCAACACATTCACTGAGATAAATGAAGTGTTGGCAGGAGCATTTAATTTAATTACCCTGCTGGTGTTGGAGAGTTAGTTCACTGCTAGAGAATTTGGAAACAGGAGCATAATGCAATTTCAAATTCAGCTTTAGAACTTGTACCCCTTCCCTATCAAGTTTCCGGTTAAAACAGCTTTGAGATCCCTTTCCATGTTTTGTTATACAAAAAGGATTTGCCTTAGGCAGCAGTGGCAGACTTGTGGGGGATGTCAGGTGTTGTTGGATTCCCCTGCTACCATAGCCAGGGATAATGGGAGTTGTAGTCCAACAATGTGTTTTTGCTGACTGTATTTTGATATCATAGAATCATAGAGTTGGAAGAGACCACAAGGGCCATCGAGTCCAACCCCCTGCCAAGCAGGAAACACCATCAGAGCACTCCTGACATATGGTTGTCAAGCCTCTGCTTAAAGACCTCCAAAGAAGGAGACTCCACCACACTCCTTGGCAGCAAATTCCACTGTCAAACAGCTCTTACTGTCAGGAAGTTCTTCCTAATGTTTAGGTGGAATCTTCTTTCTTGTAGTTTGGATCCATTGCTCCGTGTCCGCTTCTCTGGAGCAGCAGAAAACAACCTTTCTCCCTCCTCTATGTGACATCCTTTTATATATTTGAACATGGCTATCATATCACCCCTTAACCTCCTCTTCTCCAGGCTAAACATGCCCAGCTCCCTTAGCCGTTCCTCATAAGGCATCGTTTCCAGGCCTTTGACCATTTTGGTTGCCCTCCTCTGGACACGTTCCAGTTTGTCAGTGTCCTTCTTGAACTATGGTGCCCAGAACTGGACACAGTACTCCAGGTGAGGTCTGACCAGAGCAGAATACAGTGGCACTATTACTTCCCTTGATCTAGATGCTATACTCCTATTGATGAGGCCCAGAATTGCATTGGCTTTTTTAGCTGCTGCGTCACACTGTTGGCTCATGTCAAGTTTGTGGTCAACCAAGACTTCTAGATCCTTTTCACATGTACTGCTCTCAAGCCAGGTGTCACCCATCTTGTATTTGTGCCTCTCATTTTTTTTGCCCAAGTGCAATACTTTACATTTCTCCCTGTTAAAATTCATCTTGTTTGTTTTGGCCCAGTTCTCTAATCTGTCAAGGTCGTTTTGAAGTGTGATCCTGTCCTCTGGGGTGTTAGCCACCCCTCCCAGTTTGGTGTCATCTGCAAATTTGATCAGGATGCCCTTGAGTCCATCATCCAAGTCGTTGATAAAGATGTTGAATAAGACCGGGCCCAAGACAGAACCCTGTGGCACCCCACTAGTCATTCTTCTCCAGGATGAAGAGGAACCATTGATGAGCAGCCTTTGGGTTTGGTCAGTCAGCCAGTTACAAATCCACTGAGTGGTAGCATAGTCAAGACTGCATTTTACCAGCTTCTTTACAAGAATATCATGGGGCACCTTGTCAAATGCCTTGCGGAAATCAAGGTAGGCTACATCCACTGCGTTCCCTTCATCTACCAGGCTTGTAATTCTGTCATAAAACGAGATCAGGTTAGTCTGACATGACTTATTTTTCAGAAATCCATGCTGACTATTGGTGATCACAGCATTCCTTTCTAGGTGCTCACAGACTGTTTGCTTAATGATCTGCTCCAGAATCTTCCCTGGTATTGATGTCAGACTGACTGGGCGGTAATTATTTGGGTCCTCTCTTTCCCCCTTTTTGAAAATAGGGACAACATTTGTCCTCCTCCAGTCCGCCGGGACTTCGCCTGTTCTCCAGGAATTCTCAAAGATGACTGCCAGTGGTTCTGAGATCACATCTGCCAGTTCTTTTAATACTCTTGGATGCAGTTCATCTGGCCCTGGAGACTTGAATACATCTAAACTAGCCAAGTATTCTTGTACTATCTCCTTAGTTATTCTGGGCTGTGTTTCCTCTGCTGAATCATTTGCTCCAAATTCTTCAGGTCGGGCATTGTTTTCTTTATCGGAGAAGACCGAGGCAAAGAAGGCATTGAGGAGTTCAGCCCTTTCTGTGTCCCCTGTTTGCATTTCACCATCTTCTCCTCTGAGTGACCCCACTGTTTCTTTGTTCTTCCTTTTGCTTTGAACATACCCATAAAAGCCTTTTTTGTTGCTTTTAACCTCTCTAGCAAGCCTGAGTTCATTCTGTGCTTTAGCTTTTCTGACTTTGTGTCTACACGTGCTGGCTATTTGTTTGAATTCCTCTTTGGTGGTTTCCCCCCTTTTCTATTTTTTGTACACATCTTTTTTTAATCTTAACTCAGTTAAAAGTTCTTTAGATAGCCACCCTGGCTTCTTTAGGCACCTTCCATGTTTCCGTCTCATTGGTATTGCCTGACGTTGTGTTTTTACTATCTCCCTCTTAACAAACTCCCAGCTATCATGAACTCCCTTTCCTTTTAGTATTACTGTCCATGGGATCTCACCCAGCACTTCCCTAAGTTTTATGAAGTCAGCTTTCTTAAAGTCAAGAAATTGAGTCCTAGTATGCTTGGCTGCTCCTTTCCGCTGTATAGTAAACTTCAGAAGAGCATGATCACTCGCGCCTAATGATCCTTCCACTTCTACCCCACTAACCAGGTCATCAACATTGGTTAGGACCAGATCTAAAATGGCTGTTCCTCTTGTTGCTTCTCCCACTTTCTGGACAATGAAGTTGTCTGCAAGGCCAGTGAGGAATCTGTTTGACCTTATGCTCTTGGCTGAGTTTGACATCCAACAAATATCCGGGTAATTGAAGTCCCCATTACTACTATCTCCCTTCCTTTTGCATGCTTGGCCATCTGTTCCAGGAAGGCATCATCTATGTCCTCCGTTTGGCTTGGGGATCTATAGTAAACTCCCACAATGAGGTCACTGTTATTCTTCTCCCTTAATTTTGACCCAAATGCTCTCACTTTGGCTTTGAGGTTCTAAATCTTGGATCTCTTCACAGGTATACACATCCCTGACATATAACGCCACTCCTCCTCCTTTCTTGTCTGGTCTGTTACTCTGAAATAGATTGTATCCCTCCATTATTACATTCCAATCGTGGGACTTATCCCACCAGGTTTCAGTGATGCCTATTATGTCATATTTAGTTTGCTGTACCAAGAGCTCAAGCTCATCTTGTTTATTTCCCATGCTTTGTGCATTACTGTACAGACATTGAAGTCCATTAATCATTCCCCCGTGACTCTTATTTAAGGATTTTTTCCTCCCACCACTATGTTGTATGCCACCTTGATTTTTAAAATGAAAGTGTGGATTATAAATCTGTAAATGAATAATAAACATCTGGACGGCCACTGAGTTTAACAAGCACAGAGCACTGGGATTTGCCGCCTTCACTGTATGAGACTGAGGGGTGAATAAATATCAAAAAAATAATAATTCTTTTTGTTGTTGTTTAGTCGTTAAGTCGTGTGTGACTCAATTGTTTTAGCCTTCTCCAAAAAGTAGTTAGAGCTATGGACAAGGGCCAAATAAGCAAAACTTTCCTATCTAGACCCCCCCACACAACTTTATCCAACTTTTTCCATTGTGTGTGTTTCAGGGAATTGGTTCAGGGGCAAAGGGTTAATCTTCCTTCCAGACTCACCATAGACTGCAGACTATTATTGTTCAGTAGTAAAAGCAAAAGCATTAAACAGCTACTGTGAAAAATAGGAACGCTATCAATGGAAGGAAGTACTTTTTACTCTAACACATCTGAGCTTCTGTCAGTTTTGCAGCTGGGTGTTTAATGTTTGATTTCAGGACAGGTTAGGATGAGAGAGCCCCACAAAAAGGGTAATTAATGGTTAATAGCTTCTATAATGATAGATGCTGATTTGACAAGGTTGCATTTGCTTCAGAAAACATGTGACCATTGCTTTGATGGCAAAGTGAACTGCTCCTTTCCCTTCCTGACAGATTTTCCTTGTCCTTAAGAAACAGGTGGTATGATTAACTGGAAAGTCAAGACCTGGGTCAGTCTTTGAGGTCTGGAGACAGTGAAACTTCCAGCAAGCTTGTAACTGTTCTCTTCAAAGGCTGATACTGTTACTCAATGTGATCACAGCAGTGTGACACCAATGATATATGACCTGACAAAAATGTACTAAATGTAGAGGTTGAGGGGAGAGCTCTCAGGTCCTACTTGAAGATGATAGTTTCTCACCTCCTCTAAAGTTTACATTTGTTTCATCTCCTGTCAATTTGTGGGCATTGTGCAGCTGCACTAATTGCCTATTGTTTAGCTGCTAGTCTCTTTTGTGCTGGTTTCTTATTGCAGTTATTAATTCTGTATTTGTTCTTAAAGAAAATAGTTCAGCCCTTTCAAGAAAAATGAAATACAGTAGATATAATGACTAACCCCCGACTAATCTATAGTCTATAACAACATTTGTTAACTACCTTATTTGTACTAAACATGGTGAAGACCTTTTGTTGTTATTTTCTCTTCTAAGCGGACCTGTCCTGGTTCTCTTTCTAGGTGGGGAGCACCCCTCACTCCATGGTTTTCTCTGGAAAGCATTTTCCTTCAGGCACCTGCAGTAAGTAAACTATGTATTATAATCTGAAAAGAGCAATTAGCTATGCAAGGATCAACTGGCACAGTGTTGACAATTTTAGAGTAAAGTTGCTGTTATATTTCAGGCTGGTGCAAGACAGTTTTAAAACAGATAATGAAACACCATTTTGATCTTCCTATTCAATCAAGAACACACCTGGTTTACTACATCATAGAAGGCTAACAGCTTATTGCACAGTTTAGCTTATTTATTTATTTTATTAGATTACTCTTTACCACACGGTCCCAGGACAGGTTACAACTATAAAAGATAGTTATTTAATTAAATAAAAAAAGTTACACAATAAAAACATTAGAAGCATAATAAGAGAAAAAAGTTCTATATATAAAATGAAGGGGGGAGAAACAACCTCATGGTTAACTAACAATTGCAGGGAGAGGGTGACAGAGGCTAAACCTCAGAATTAACCCAGGCTTACAAGATTGAAAATAATAATAAACATTTTCTTTCTATTGGGCAACAGTGAAAGCAGAACTGCTCAACACGTACTTTGTCTGTGTCTCCACCCAAAAGGAAACCAGTGCCCAACATGGTGATAACAGAATAAATGATGCAAGGAGGCAGTTGCAGTCCATGATATGAAAAGATATGAAAAGACTTTGAATTAATTCACATCTCCAGGGCCTGACGAGCTGCACCAGGATTCAAGTTACAAAAAAAGATTCCGACTAAACATCAGTAAGTACTTTCTGAGTGTAAGAGCCATTTGACAGTGCAACAAACTCCCTCAGAAGGTGGTGGACTCTCCTTCCTTGGAGGCTTTTAAGCAGAGGTTGGATGGTCATCTGTCAGATGTTTTTATTGAGATTCCTGCACTTCAGTGGGTGAACTATATGACTCTCAGGATTTCTTCCAACTCTACAATGCTATGATTTTTTTTGAATTGGCACTCAATACTTTTTAATCCAGCTTTTTGATCTTCAGTGCTAAAAAATGATAATTGGTTTAATAATAACAATAAACCACTGAAGGTCAAAAAAGTTGTTCTAGACAGAGTTTAGTGAACCCCACCCCCACCCCGGTAAAGCAACAGCTTGTTTTGTCCCTACTATGCCTTTTGGGGAGAAGTTGGGAATGCTGTTGTTTTCAACTATATCATACTTGGCGCACACACTTGACTACATTTTTTTCAGTTTCAGCCTGTTCCTAAGACCACAGAAGTTGCATCTTGACTAATGAATATACATATAATGCTAGGGCACATCTTTAGAAGAGAAAACTTGTTATTTATCATGTCTAAGCCCCCAGGAAACCTCAGAGGTCAAAATGCATCTTGCAGGGTGTAACTTTATCCTTCAGTATTTATGCTCATGGATATTATTTTAGTTTTATTATGGCAGTCATAAATGTTTGTTAGAAAACAATTAGTAAACAATTTTTCTTAACATTACTGTTTTAATCTTAGCCTTTGTTAGGGATGCTTTAAGACCACTTGTTCTCATTTATTGATTTTGGAACATTATTTGAACAGGTTTTTCTACATGTGCAGTATTTTTTGTATTATTATTTTTTAAAAAAAAACAACAACACTTTAGGCAATTTTTCTTGGG